CCAATCCCTTTGGTCGAATTCAAGGTGGTAGCCGGGGCAGTGGGTTTCCCGAATAGGCTGACTTTTCACAACATCTACACAACGCAAAATCTTCTGAGCCATGGATGGCCTTCTCCACTGGCCTGATATAAGCGTGCTTCCAGCGACGAAATGTAGGACAACATGAGGGCCGTGCTAACTCCATTCAAAGGAAAACTCGGCAAAATTGAGAGAAAATTTATCAGTGTTAGGAATCGCACCAGATGGTTTCTTCTCCGTCACATATGACTGCTTCGACCTGAGTCCCTCCCCTGATAGTCGAGTGCTCCTCCTCGCTTGATTAGGCGGAGAAAATGAGGAGACATTCCACTAGTTTTTAACCATCTCGCTCTATTTTAGTTTTCCGTGAGTCTGCTTTTGTTTCTGACTGTGACACAGAGTTTCATGCCCAACGCTTTCAGTTGTAAACGAAATGGATCAACAATCAGAACAGAATCATTTAAAAGGAATCAAATTCGACATCTCTTTTGAATCACCTTCTCATAGTAATTGATGAGATCATCACTGAAGATATACCAACATTGTGCAGCTCCGGGACAGTAAAGCCATAATCCAGACTGTACATAACGTTTTACATCTGTATCTTCAGCTACCTGTAAAACATGGGGCTTATTGAATGCGCGGCATTTACAAATTGCCATTGACCCACCTGACTGGAGAATGTTCTGTAATAGGTTTGCCAGTTTGGCCATTTTGCGTCACACATATCAAAGTTAAGATTGGAAGCGAAGAAGTGCATAGCAGAAGCAAAGTGACAGAGGGAGAGTATACCATTTTCGTTTTGAATCGTACTTTTCAAGCCGAATCGGACTATCCCAAACCAAAAAAGAACTCACTCTTTACACAGAACAGTCGATTATCTAGACCACCCTAGTTACTGCTGCACGCTTCGCAATAGCATCCCTCCCCAAGTTCCAGCGCGGTCATGGTTTTTCAGTTTGCACTTTTCCTATTTTGCACACATACACACATTAACGGAAAAGAGCTTGTATAAGGTATACACAGTAGGTGGTGGACTGATATACTGACATACGCAGGCACAACCCGGCCCTTTTTTTGAAGGTTTTTGCAACTTTCAAGTCTTTCTAACTTCTTTCAACGTCGGTCTTTTCACATCCATTCTTCACAAAACTAATGTATTCATATACATGCTTTATGCATTGTCACGTTAGACTCCACCCTTTAGCCACGCCCTCATTTGCGCCTTCTCACGGAATTGCGGTCCTTTTTCAAAATATTTGCCTTCTTTAGTTGCAACAGGTAGCTTTTCCCACTATGAGAAGCTCTGCTCGCTCCATGGAAGGCCGGCTCACCATTGAAAAATGACGGTACTGGGCAGCCCACAGCCCGAATTGGTCGGCCTGTCTTTTTCATCTCCCGGACTGGACCAAAAACCGAACAAATTTTCTTCCGAGTGGGAGCGTGATCCTAACAGCCAGCTGGGACTCCAATATGTCGATTTGGCATATTTACATGCTTTATGCATTGTCACGTTAGACTCCACCCTTTAGCCACGCCCTCATTTGCGCCTTCTCACGGAATTGCGGTCCTTTTTCAAAATATTTGCCTTCTTTAGTTGCAACAGGTAGCTTTTCCCACTATGAGAAGCTCTGCTCGCTCCATGGAAGGCCGGCTCACCATTGAAAAATGACGGTACTGGGCAGCCCACAGCCCGAATTGGTCGGCCTGTCTTTTTCATCTCCCGGACTGGACCAAAAACCGAACAAATTTTCTTCCGAGTGAGAGCGTGATCCTAACAGCCAGCTGGGACTCCAATATGTCGATTTGGCCTTAGGGATCGAGGGAAGCTTCCGCTGGTGGGCAGCAGGGCACCAGTCCTTGTGGAAGTCACGGTTAGGGTCGTATTTGGTCGCGGAAGAGGGGAGGGAGTCTAAGCGCAGGACTCATTTAGAAGTGGGAAGAGCAGCAATACTGAGATGTCCTACAACCATCGATAAAAATTTATTCATGGTTCTTGTTGTGAGGATATACACCCAAAGACACCTCAAGAGACACCTGAAGACAGAGGCACGTTGCAAACAGAGAAGTGGCGGACGATGACAAGAAACACGGTAGGCGCCCACAACGACTTGCATCGATAAATAAACGAAATACTGTACACGCTCGGACCCTTCTGAGCCGTGGAGGCACATCTGGTTGCACAGAAGTCTTGTCTAGAATTTACACCTCCCGGAACCTCTGCGTCATGTGCATGGCGCAATACAGAGGAGATGTCAAACAGCACCTAGTGAACTATTTCCCGGTGGTTTTGACGAAAATATGTGTTTTGAGATGTTAGGGAGAACAAAAGACATCTGTTTTGGGACACTTTCTTCTCGTTCTAGAGCCCGTCGGTCGCAGATAATGGGTGTGAACTCCAGCCATATCATCTAGGCTGCATTTATCAAAACCATTATGGCCGTTATCAGCGCAGTGGATGTTTTCAGTGGCAGCTCCATGATTTCTTTGCCATGACATCCTGAGTAGCAGGAAGAGGAAAGGGTCCAGGGCTGATCCTTGGTGTACTCCAACCATGATGTCTATATCCTTCAAGTTGTGTGTGGGTACGTACAGCTGCCTCAGCCTCATTATACTTGATCTTGACCAAAGGGACCAGATGCTCCAGGAACGTTTCGGTCCCTGAACGCTCTGCGGAGCACATGTTGATAGCTGTAGAAGGCCTTCTCAAGGTCCACCAGAAAGGACAGATAGCAGGGTCGCCGTTCTTCTCAATATCTCTCCACCATCTGTCTGCCGGTAAAGATACAGCAGCGGCAGAAAAAACTTGGAACAAGCCCAAGTTGCGCGCTTTTCAATAGTTTTACATACAATTTTTGAATTGCACATGAAAACTTTGTTTGCTCAAACAAAGTACGCCTTAAAATGCTATTCCAAAAAATAAAGTTTGTTGATTAGATTAGTTACAGGGACAGAATTTTGAGATTATTGCGATACGGCATGCCGCTGCTACTCTGATATTGGACCGGTTTTCAAAGTTTCTAATGCTTTGCAATCCATCGGAAGAAGATCACACCTGTCTGGGTGTTCGTTGCAATCCTTTTTTTACAACTCTCGAGAAACCTATGTTGTTCCCAAGCATTAGAAACTCTGAAAACCGGTCCAATATCAGAGTGGCAGCGGCATGCCGCATCGCATAATCTTCAAAATTCTGTCCCGGTAACGAATTTAATCAACCAACTTTATTTTTTAGAATAGCCTTTTCAGGCGTACTTGGTTTCAGCAAACAAAGTTTTCATGTGCAATTTAAGAATGTATGTAGAAACTATTAAAAAGCGCGCGACTTGGGCTTGTTGCATGTTTTTTTGCCGCGACTGTAGCATCAGCGGTGGGCTTTTGAAGATGAAGTCGAACTGATCTTGCAAATTAAGAACAGGTTCCCTTAACCTCGTGCGCTCAAGCAGCTCCATGGTGTGCGGAGTCAACTCGATGCCGCGGTAGTTGGAGCACTCCGTCGCGTCCCCTTTCTGTTGAAGATGGGGACGATTGTGCTGCTCCTCCACGCATCCTGCATACTTCCCTTAACTGTTACCTCCTTAGAAAATAGGTGAGCCAACTTATTCCACGCTCTCCAAAGGCTTTCCCTGCCTCTATCCGTACCCCGCTGAACCTGCTGCCTTCCAGATCTGCATTCTTCTTAACTCGACGGGCCTCATCTTTGTCAAGGGAGTGGAAAGGACTGAAAGTATGTATTTAAAAGAGAGAAAGGGTGACAAAAATGCTCAGTTTTGACTTGACACTCCTTTTTAAGCACTAGGAGACCAATGCAAATGGAATATGAAAAAAACAAACTAAAAAACGTGCACTGTCTCATAGCACGAAATTTTCCCTATATGGATTTTCCCATTATTAATGTATAGTTTCAAGTGAGAAAGAAACGTTTGTGCTTATAGTTCCACGTAATAGTTAATCGCTAGTTTACAGTCAAGTTGAAGAGATGCGCATTACCATCAAGCGCCAAACCCATCCCACCATTCCTTATGATTGCTCCACTATTCGATATGTCGGCCAGAAGCGAATGTGACGCTCTATAGCGTCTCTTTATACCTATCGACATACGGAAGTGCACGTATAACTGGTGATTTCATAGCTCGCAGTACGGAATGAATGGCAGAAGGTCATTGGGAATTGACGCACGCTCGGAGTGTTGAATATATGAAAAACTGTCATGTCGAGATTCCAAGAAGAGAGAAGCAGGAGAATATTCTAAGATGTGCCTCGAACAGAATTCACACATCAAATGCCAATGTCAGGATGAGAAGGCCAGCTCATTTCACAAAAAGCAATGATGCAAAACTCATGATGTGTTTGCACAACATTTAACAGAGAAGACAGTCACCTCATTTCAAGTCAGTTAACTGGATTTGCAAATCAAATAGAGACCATCGTGTGGCTGGTATAAAACGTCTGGAGACAAAATCAAATTTGCTTCTCCACACATTCCAACTCATATGCATGACCCTGAGATAAGAAGAATGGTATTGTACTCCTAGTATTATTGTAGAGTTGTTAAACCAGCTTATAAGAGAAGAGAGTTCCGTAGGAGCGCAAGCAAGGGAGCTAGCAATCTAGAACTTGAGCCCTTCGCAACAAATGAGAGTAGATCAAGTTCTGTTACCCACCGAGAGAGACATATGTAAAAAACCGTGCAGAAGTTTATACAACAATCTTCGACCTTGAGCTGATATCACTAAAATAGCCGAAATAGTCCGCAGCACCAACCTTCCGTTATCGGCGTTCCACCTAGAGGTGTTGCACAATCAACGGTAACTTCTTGAGAGTTCCCACTTCTATCTAAAGCTGCAGTACGTGCATACGTTCCGGCAGCATTTTTGATAGCACATATTCTCACGGAAAATTTTACATTGAAAGTAGTCGATCTGAAATGATGGTGATGGAAACCAATGCTCTGCAGTGCGTTAGCCTGCGACAAACGACAAGTGAAAGACAAATAAAGAAAGCGCGCATCAGCAATTCCTCGACTTTTTCTTGAACCCCGTCTGCTGAGCCCACAAAGGAAAGTGCATATAATACTACATAGTCCCATCAGCAGCACTGGAAGAAGGGACCATTCCAGAATCGTCCTGACATCAAGGTGCAAGTAAGGAAAAGGAATCAACATATCTTCTTTTTTCACCGGAGCGATTCCTTTCAAATTTCAATATGTTATACTCACCACTGTTACCAGTAAATGAAAACAGTTGATTTTGAAAACAGTGCACGGTCTACAATTTTTTTGCGTAACGACTAATGTCGGTGTCCACAAGGCTACCGCACTATTCAAAATTCTCGTGTTTTGAAGAGGTACATGACACCAGCCGGCATCGCCGGTTGACGCCATTTAATTTAGGTAGACGGTATGCCTAACAAATCTAACTTACACCGCAATCTCCCGCAGTCAATCCATTAAACCTGCAGTCATGGAATAGCCAACCCAGTGTGACCATACTCTTGAATAATGGGATACCTTGTGACACTATCACATGATGACTTGTATGACGTCACGTGGTTCGTCTCTGTTGTTTATTTCGGGTAGTAGCCATTTTATTTCCAGAACCTCTAGGTTTTCTTTTCCAATGTGTTCATTCAAAATTCATTATGTGGACGACGAGTGAGCAATTCAATACAGGGGATGATCTGCATTACCATAAGTGAGGCTTTGACCACAATTCCGCTTGTGTAGTGGAC